ACATGTTGAATATTGAAAATCATGTCAATATTCTCCACATAGAAATATGCAAATGTCTTCCTTTTAAGTATGACCCATCTCTTGAGTTAATTGGTTGTTCCTATCTACTTTTATGTTTTTAAATTCTAATCTTTGTTATTTCTCATGTGTCAGTGCTCATTAGAAACTTTCATTAGTGATCTTTTTAGGGGGACTCTGAAGTTTGGAACATTGTTCTTGTGATCAAAATCAAGTTTCATGGTTGCTGTAGGTCATTTTTTGGCTAACATTTGATATGCTAGGATTATTCAGGTAACGTATGTAAAGGACTCTAGCTTTCAAGTTTCTGTTTTCAGTCAGTTCCAGACTAGTAGTAATGTCTCTCAAGAGTAAGAAGTTAGTTTGGCCTTGACTTTCTAGGGTAGTTTTTAATCATCTATTGATTTATCAACTGACGTGCAAATCACAGTGCCTATATCTGTTTAGGAGTCATTATACTCATTGGTAGAAATAGTTTAATCTTCTCCACTAGTAATTAGTAATGACATGCCTATATATATATGTAAATAAATAGATAAATCCAAGGATACATTATTCATTTTTTAACATTGTTTTTTGCATGTGTGTAGCATAGGGTTAAATGCACAAATCCTAAGTAAAGAATTTAATTCTACTCATACATAATGAACACATCTTTATAAAAAACTAAATAAAATATTACCTGCACTCCTGGGACCAACATAATTTCCTCTTAAAATATATCCTTTATAATTAAGATATTTTCTCTAAGCTATCAACACTGGAAATATTGAAAGGAGATATTAATGTTTTTGAAAGGAGAGTGAATACATAATTGTTTCTATTTTATATTAGTAGCACTTAGCATAATAAATGTCTAATAATATTAATAACTGTTTTGGATTTGTTGAAATTTTAGACTTAAGTTCAGGGTTTTTTTTTTTTAACGTTCCCATATTTGAAAAATGAGATTTAAAAACGTTTTCAGGAAATAGCTTTCAGCTGACATTTTTATTGAGATATCTAATAAAATAAAGTAGCTTAAGATTTGGGTTACTTAAATATTATCTTGTAAAGCATTATTATTCTATATTTAAAGGGAAGGAAGATCATAATTATGATATTTTCTTTGTCGTGTCTAAAAATATAGTTCCAATTGCAATTCACCAGGTATCTTCCTGATTTTTTAAATTACTAACAGATAGGCCATCCATTCCCTTCATGAAATGCGCATGATTAGTAAAATTTTATGTGTTCTGTCATCAATTCGATGTGATAAAGCAAAGGTTTTTCTGTATTTCACACAGCATCGGGGCTCTGCAAAGTATCTCTGGGGGTTCTTTGATGTCTAGACAGTTTAAATTATGCCTGCTCCCCTGCCTCCAAATTCCAGCCCTGTTCTGCTTCAGGGGTTGTGGGAAATGAAAACAAATCAGAAGGGTTCCATAACATTCCAGTAAAAACAAACAAGTAGAATAAGCTGTATATCCACCCTGGCAGGTGTATAGGAAAGGACCCGATGATAGGGAATAAAAATAAAATAATTGTGGACAAATATTGTCCTGTTTATTTATTTCTAATTATATTCCTAACATGGAAATACATGTGCATCGTGGACAAAATGAAAACATTATAAGTGTTAGGAAGGCGAGTAGAAGCTGCCTTTTACCCTAGTCCCTCAGTTTTCCTCCTCCCCACTGGCAGCCAAATCTAGGAGTTTGGTATGTTTCTTATACGTTGTCCTATTATTGAAATAATGGTAAGATGCGGAATTGCATTTTAAGTTGGAAAACTAACTTCCTTTTTCTATCTCTTTTTTTTCTTTGTTTTTCTTTATAAATCGGGATGTCATGATTCGTCCAATTCATCTTTTGTAGAAAGTAAGTAATTTTTGAAATCGCAGAGATTTTTTTTTGTTAAATTGTTGATGTTTTATGATTACATGTATACATATACACATGTACAGAGTCTATTACAGAATTTTAACTTTTAAATTGTAGCTGAGTTGATTAACCTTACATTAAGTGTGAATTAAAAAATAATTAAAAATAAGAAATTTTACATAGAAAGTGTTCATGCTGTCCAAGAATACATACTTTTAACACATATTTGCCTTATCTTCTTTAATACCCACATTAAATCATTGTGAGATATATATGTATACATTTACTTTTTACATATATATTATATGTATAATTATATATATATACATATGTATAATATATATATAAAATATATATCTATATCTTAAAGTAGGCCAAGGTATGCTTGCTAGTTCTGTTTTTTTCTGACAATAAAAATAATAAAAGAATATCAATAATATTTTTATTGATTTCTGTTCTGTAGCAGTTAATTAAGACATTAATTTCTTCAGGAACAGTCCAAATTTTCTAGATTTTATGGAATTATTGAGAATAGCAGTAATAAGTTCTGAAAGACTTTTAAAATAGATTTTTCTATGTATATTCTGCATTCTATGAAACAGTTACCTTGTAATAAGCACGTAACTCTTTTGATGCTGATCTTTTATTGTTTTTAAATAAAACGGACCATATCCCTAATTTTTTTCTGTACGGAATTGCAAGTGATATGCGTAGGACTAAGTTACTAATAACCCAGTGATTTGAGTTGTAAACCTGCATTTGATTGCAGAATATTTTGTCATTCTTCTAAAATATAAGTGTATAGTTTTAAAATAAAACAAATTTCATGTTTGTTTTGAGAAAGATTTTGGAAAATTACAGTAGTGATCAAGACTTTTGGAGATATAGTGTCATGTGACTGTGAATTACATATTTTAAAATATTTCTACAGTGAACCTTGAGTTTATTGATTTAATAAACAGTATAATTAAATGATATATTCATACTCAACAAAGCTTATTTATCTGAAACTAAGTGCTTATCAGTTGTGTTTACAGCAAATATAGCATTAAACTTCCATTTATTAGTCAATTTACCTTCAATTGTCTTTCATTTACTGTACCTTAGAAGAAAATGTAAATTACAGTGATGTTAAATTATATTTGTTCAGTATTTCTTAGCTGTATTAAATCTGTATTATTCTGAGTTCTTGGAATTGTGCGTATTAGGACCTTAGTAATAAAAAGCAGGAAGAATATATGTGACCTTTGATGTTAGGTGAACAGTTTCATTAAGTTATATATTTTAAAGTCTATATTGTTTCATTTTTATATATTGGATTCTACTTTACTTGTAGTGTTAACATCATCTTGCCAAGTCCCTACAGAACGTCTGTGTTTCTGACAGTTTCACTAAATTAAAACTCGACAAATCTGGCATAATAATTCCCAGCTTCAAGTTGTCTGTACTTTTGCCTGAAGAAAAGAATGATAAAAAATATATATTTTGCAGTGTTCAGTATACCATGTGCAGCATTATTTATCTGGAATTTATTCATGGACAGATATTTCTGGGGAGATGAATATATTTTACTTTATAAGGTATGCCTGGCCTACTTTACATATGAGCAAAAAATCTTTTGTGAGGAAAAATAATGAAATGAGGCCGTAAGCTTGTAGCAGTTTCATGAGGAAATATATTACATAAACACACAGCATTATAACCATGTGTACGTTAGTGTTATAACTGCATTGTTCTGTGACCAAATTTATATTAGGTCTCTTGCTTCCTGTCAAACCCAGTGTAATCATATTGACATGTTGGCATAGAGAGTTGCTTTCTAAAATAATAAAGAGTGCTCTTATGATTATAATACTTATAAACCTTTATGACTATGATGTGTATATATGCTGACTTGCTATTAAGTGTTTTGTGGCAACGCAGCAAATTTGACTGTTTCATTTTCCTGGTGAGTTTTCATATAAAGTCAGAGATTTGATAATCTTGGTTTTTAGAAAACTCTGAATTTAGTATATAAAATTATATTTCTATTACAGAAATTCAAACTTAAAAATCTTAATACCTTAAAGGTCCTCTTGTCTCAGAATATTTTGGATTAAATATGTAGAGCCCCTAAGAGGCGAATGGGGTGGAATAGGGATTCTAATCAATATTGGCTCAACCAAATATTGATCTTTCAGCATATTAGGAAGTACAATGTATGTGGCAACATAAGTAAATGAAAGTGATAATTCTAGATCTAAATTCTAGTTTATAAATATAGCAGTTTGCAAAAAAAAAAAACCACACAAAAAAAGCTCTAAAGTCTACCTCAGGAAATACATACGTGTCATACATTTCATAAACATCTTTCTATGTGTATGAGTACATTTCAATAATGTTTGTACATATGTGCTTTGAAATTTTTAATCACTAGCTTAATGCTGTTTGATTTCTTTTGAAAGAATCTGTTGATTTCATAATTCAGTTGCTTGCTTTTTGGTGCAGAACATAATTATTAGCTGGGCAGAATTCCCAAACACATATTTCTTTATTTGACAAATCTGAGAAAACGATGTCATTGTTGAAGCTGTATCAGAGATATAAACACAGATATAAATTTTTATTTGGCCTTGTGAGAAATGTAATCCCATGAGTAACTTAAATGCTTATAATTTCAAATCAGTTTTTCCCTGGTTTCTTATTATTCTTTTGTTGCTTTTCAACCTATAGGATGGAGCTGTCCTTGAACTTGGTTTATTTGATCATTCAAGTGCAACCATCAAGTTGTCTGTAATATTTAAATACTGAGGCTTCATGGTATTATTTGTAAAATAACACCACATAAACGTTTTGGCTTTGGTTTCTTTGAAATATAGTGTTGGTTGGCTTTATGAATAAAAGCATAATTTCAATTCAGGAGACTTTTTGCCTGAAGCCTATAATACAGATGCATCTGATTAACTTTGGCGACTCTACACTGGCCTGTTATTGTAATGTAGATGTTTTCAGGGTTGGGAGGATATTTTTAAAAGGTATGCAAGAGGGTCTTTTTTTTTTTTTTTAAGAGACTGAGAGAACAGTTTTGCCACAGAAACTGCATCTCAGACTGCTTCATTTTTGCACACTTTTATTTTCTAGTGGAACTTCTCCGTTAGCCTGTCTGAATGCAATGCTTCACACTAACACTCGAATAGGGGATGGAACATTCTTCAAAATCCCTGGAAAGTCAGGCCTCTATGCTCTCAAAGTAAGTTGGATTGTTGTGCATATTATGTCTGTTATTACTATGTATCATGCATTTTTTTTTCTGACACGTGAAGGTAAACAAAGCTAGAATTGAGTGAAGGGTAGAACGGGCCCTATGCCTTTTAAATGTTTTCAGATGTCTTAAAAATGATTTCATATTAAGGATAAACAATGACATTTTTCTTTAAGGAAAGAAAACATATCTGCGGTTTCACTCAAACATATGGTAATGGAAAATAGTTGTGGCTTTCTTAAAATTCTTGATTCTTAAAAATTTACATGGAGGAGTGCCACGGCTCATCAGCCAAGAGCTTAACATGATCACAGTTGCCACAAATTATTTGACTTAATGAACACTGGTTGATAGACAGCTTCACACCTGTATGCCTTTCTGTCTTTCATAAAAATAAGAGATTTATCCATTCTCCTTGAAAAGTTGCTGATTTTAATGTTATTCAGCTTTAAAACAGTGATCTTAAGGAAGTTTTACTAACAATGCATATTTATCCTATGAGAAGAATAGAGAAATAAAATTAAAAGCTTCAGATAACTGACTTAATTATTTTAGTGCAATTCCCATTCCCATCTAGAATAGGAAATGCCATCTAAGATGCAAAATTCCAGAGGATAGAAACTGATGCTCTACAAATGGTTGTTTAGCTTGGAACAACTAAAATCAGTGTATTATTTCTTATAAATTAAAAAGAAGTCACTGCTTTCATAAATGAGGGATTACTTTTAAAGGTCATCAGTTTCCCTTGAGAAGTGTTTTGTTATTTGTTTGATTGATTGATTGTTTTAATGCTACAAGTTATACCTGGCAAAGAAGCAAAGGTTCTTTCTCAACTACTGAGCATCAGGCTCTTATCACTGTGTGTGTTTCTGAAAATCACACAGATTAATCAAAAGGACTTATATTTCGTTCATTGGCTTTTTGTAGCTATTTGGGTGTTTACTGATAAAATTTTGAGTTGTTAAGCCATTTCCTAACATAAGGACAAATGTAGAATTGAAAAATAAAATGAAAACAACATATGTCAAAAGGCAAGTTTGTTTTTGTATAGATTTTAAAAGGTCATCCAAAAAATCAGCTATGGCAATGTATTTTTCCCAGTTGTTTTTTTTTTCCAAGGAGTGATTTTATATTTAAAAAGTAAATCAAATTACTGTGATAAGAGTAGAATTGTGATAGTACTTTAGGACTCTGAAAATACTTTGAATGTTTTCAGTTGCTAATACATCTCCATAAACATCATTTTTAAAAAAAATATAGAAAGAGGAGTCGTCATGCCCAACTGATGGGACGTTGGATTTAGACTGTGAGTCTGAATTGGATGGCACAGAAATGGCAGAGGCCAATGGCAGTGGGGAAGGAAATGGAGGTAAGTGTGATGGGTTTCAAATATGAATGCTATTTTCTTAAAAATGATACAGAATTTCAATAATTCATTTATTGAATTCTCTACTTATAGATGCAATTTTCTTTTAAGTTTTTACCACCTACTTAGATTTATCATTAAACAATTTTGATTCATAAGATTAGCACCTATAGAAAGTATACAGTTCTTTGCTTTTTCTATTTTGTTTTTTAACAGTATGGATTTCCCTGGGTATGTTCTTGAGTGTTATCAGTATATTTCTCCTGCGAGGTGAGAAGGTTACTGGGAGTATCTAGTGGTTTTATTCTTATGTGAGGCCTGAAAATGCTAATGTTTTATGTCTGATTGTGCTGACAGTTTCTGTGATCACAGTAGTTTTATAATAGCTTTGTTCTTAGGTTTGTCCATAGTAAATTAAGCTTAGTGTTAACATTCCTTACAGTGAAAACAAGGGCCAAATAAATTACATTCTTGTGAATCACTTTTGAAAACCCTCCATGAATTCCAAGGGGACATTTTCCACCTCTGAATTCTGTCCATGTTAATTCATTTTTATCTTTCTCTAGATATTTGCATTATGATTCTGTTGGTGTAAGTAATTTCTGTACCGCAGCTTGGGCAATTTTTTTTTCCACAAAAGCTGCTTTACTTTTTTTTCCTCCCTACCCACTGGTCCCAAAAGTGGACCCAGATCACGATTTGGGAGGAAGACTGTCTCATTAAAGTCTCTGTCAGTGGACCCATAGAAATCAGTAAATTATCTTTAAAGAAACAAACCTTAAAGGACACTTGCAGAAACATCGTATTTCACTAACAGCCCAAAGCCATTCATTTTATTAATGGCCATAGGAGTCCCTTTGAATAATGACTGGACACTCCTGCCTTTTAGGTTGGTGTGCTTTCCGATAGTCCCCCCGAGACCGATCCTGCTTCAGTGCCTAACTGACCTGCAGGAGGGAGTTTGTGCCTGAATGTCGGAAACAAAGATTCTTGTCCTAGTAAAATGGCAGAAGTAAGCCTTGTAGACTTCTTTTCTAACCAACTTTCATTGAATTTGATGTCCCTATTCCAATACCTTTTGAAAACTCAACTCAGCCCCTCATCATTGTGATTCTACTGTGAACTTTGGCTGGTCCTTGTGGGTGAAGAGAGAACGAGGCCGAGATGCATGGCAATTTCTGGCTTTCTGGAAGGGCTGGTGAATGGGGCAAATTCTTGTCCTTCAGTAGGATGAAGGGGAGTCTTACTGGGTCATCCCTCTAGCTCAGCGGTTCTCAACCTGTGAGTCGCGACCCCTTTGGGGGTCGAACGACCCTTTCATAGGGGTCGCCTAAGAACATCGGAAAACAAAAAGATATTTACATTACGATTCATAACAGTAGCAAAATTACAGTTATAGAGTAGCAACGAAAATAATTTTATGGTTGGGGGTCACCACAACATGAACTGTATTAAGGGGTCGCGGTATTAGGAAGGTTGAGAACCGCTGCTCTAGCTGTACTGTCTGCTAGCATATGCACTTGCATGCTCTCTCTCTCTCTCTCTCTGAGTATACACTGAGCCTCTACTGTGTGCCAAGTACTGTCCTCAACATTGTAGCCACAGCAGTGAAAAAGAAGAGCAGAAAGAGACCTCTTATGGATCTTATGTTGGTAGAGAGACAAAAAATAATCAAATTAATAGGTACAATTTATAGCTTATTCAGTGCTGACAAATCATATGGGACAAAATAATTTAAATAAGGAAATAAGAGTGGGAGAGAGAGGTACATTTGAGAAAAGACCCAAGGGGAATGAAGGAGCAAGTATGTAATAGGAGATGGTTTTGGGTAGAAGAAGGAGCAATTACAAAGGCCTTAAGGCAGGAGAGTGCCTGGAATGTTCCAGAAACATCAAGAGGCCAGTGTGGTTGGAGGCCAGAGTGAGCAAGGGGAGAAAATGGTAAGATATTGAAGTCAGAAGTTATAGGGCCAGATTGTACAGTGCTTTGATGTTGGCTTTGTTTTGAGTGAGATGTTAAACCACTTTTGGGTTTTGAGCTAAAGAGACAGTGATCTCACTTAAATTTTAGCAGGATCACTAAGTACAAAATATATAGCTATAGATACAGACGTAGACGTAGATGTAGATGTAGACATAGACATATAGGAGAATAAGGACAAAAGCAGGCAGACTTATTAGAGTTATTGCCATAATGTAGATAAGAGGTGTGATGGTGGTTTGAATAAAACACGTGGCAGTGGATGTGATGATAAGTGATTGGAGTCTGGATGTATGTGAAGGTCGACACAACAAAAGTTGCTGAAATTAGAAGCAACTAAAGAAGACCAGATGATGACTCCAAAGTCGGAGCGTGAGCAAAGAGGAGGATAGCATTGTCTTTAACTTAGATGGCAAATCTGCAAGAGAATCAGTTTTGGGGCAGGGGGCTGTCGATCAGGAGCTTAGTTTTGGACCTATTAAGTATGAGATTCATTTTCAGCATCCAGGTGTATATGTTATATAACTGGACTTAACCTGCCTTAAATTCATGGGGCTGGCCTTGCTGGAGGTATGCATTTGAAAGTGGTCAGTTTATGGTGATGTTTCGAGACAAGAAACTGGATGAGATCACCAAGGAACTGAAGGTGAATAGAAAGGAGAAGAGGCCCAAAGACTGAGCTCACAGGCAGTTGAGTTTTAAGAAATTGGAAAGAGCAAATGAGACTGAGGATAAATAGACAGGAGAACATGTTGTCTGTTCTGGGAACCAAGTGAAGAAAGTGTTTCTGGGAAGGAAGTGACTCAAATGTGTCAAATGCTTTTGATATGTCAATTATAATGAAGACTAGAAATAACTATTGGATTTAGCTTTGTGAAATTATTAATGAACTTGACAAGGACAATTTTTGTCGAATGGTGAGACCATAGCCTAAATAGAGTAGGTTTAAGAGAATGGGAGAACGGAAATTGGAAACCAAGCATAGACAATTCTTTCAAGGATTTTTTAGTTAAAGGGAAGGAGTGACATGGGGATTGGATAGAAGAGAAAATGGAACCAAGAGAAAGTTGTTCTTGTTGTTGTTTTTAAGTAAGAGAGATAAATACTAAAATAATTGTATACTGTCGGGAAAATCCAGCAGAGGAGGAGAATTTCATGAGGAGGGTGTCCCGTTGCCATGTGATTAATTAGATGAGAGGGAATGGGATCTTTTAAACAGGTGAAGAGATTGACCTTATTTAATAGTATGAAGGTAGATGAGTATATACGGGGGGGCTCATGGAAGTTTGTTTCTTATTGCTTCATTTTTTTTCTCAGTGAAATAAACAATTTCATCAGCTGAGGGAGAGGTTAGAGGAGGTGGTTTTGTAGCTTTAAGGAGAAGATATAAAATGGGTAGAGTCTGACAGCATTAAGCACATGCTTCAAGTTGCTAATCCTGAATTGAATATGAGACTAGTCAGAATACTTGTACATTTTTCTCCAGTCATGTTCATGACCATGGTGTAAGTGCAGAGTAGAGAGCCAGATTTGAGCAGACTTGGGATTTTTCCAGGTGTGAATGATGAAATGACACAGGGACAGAGGAGTTGAGGGCGCATGAAATAGAGTAGTTGAGATCAGTCTCTATGGAATTCAAGCTGGATGTGGAGGTAGGTGAAGATATGACTGTGAGGTGAAAGAGGAGGTCCCCGTGGGATGGAAGGATTGTTTGATTTGGTGTTCTAGAGACAATAACTTAGAAAGATAGGTGATGTGAGAGCGGAATACATGAAATTGAGTTTAGGGTAATATTATGGAGTGTATATCTAAAATGAGAGGAAGAAAGGCAGCTAGGTTTAAGACTGTCACAAATGGTTGGGCAGTGTGTGCACTCTTCAGAGTGGCCTGGCTCAGGGGGCCATCATCAGTGGCTGAAATTCAGCAGCCCTCCATTTGCCCAGCTTAGTGTCATGGGATGGAACAGGGCCCACTGGGAGGAAACGCTGCCTTTTCTTATTTGCACAAAGATGTTAAGGGCTGATGGTCCTGACATAAAGTATTAGAGAATCACCTATGTGGATATTGAAACACAAATTTTTATAGAACTAACATTGAAAGGGTATGCATTTAAGAGCTAAAATCTTCATAAAATGAGGGGTGCACCCCAGGAGCTGGTAGATAAATACAGGAAGGAAGAGTAGTTAATATTGTCATCTGATGACATGAGATACTATGCTGGAGGCATCTCCAGAGAGGGAGAATAGATGTCACCTAGCCCATTTCCAGCCCCAGCGGGACAAGATGTGTGAAAAAGAAAAGGGCTACTACAGAGGGTTTTAGGGGAAGAGGTGTTCATAAGAGAGAACCAGGTTTTGTAGATCAAGATGAGATAGTGTTCAGGAAAAAGATGGAGGTTATAGGAGATTTTGCTAAGGACTAATCCTGAATTTCAGAGGAAGCAGTGGGAGAGGTTTTAGTGTCTGGGAAGGGGTGAGGGAGAGAGGGTGAGAGCACCTAGCCAATAATTAAACCAAAGCAGATAGAAGCAAACTTCCCCTAATTGGAAATGTGAATAGGTAGTTCACAAAATCACACATCCCCACACAGCTCCAGCTAATGTAACTAAAACTAGATTTTTCTGGCCTCTCCTTTGAAATTGCATTAAGGAAATTGCTTTGGGGAGTCACTGAAAGAATAGCAAGTAGCTTATTTCTTTGAGTATTCCTTGGTTTGTCCACTTTTGTATCTAATTGCAAACCACAATTGCTTCTTGTAGGACAAGTATATTTCCTATCCATGTAAATACCATATACTTATATGTGTAGCCCATTAACCCAGCCTTAGGATACATTTTCAAACCTAGACATTGAGAACAGATTGAGGGTTTATAATGCCCAGCCTCTGTAAGCTCTTTCCATGTATGTTGTTTAAATCCTACAGCATTCCTGTGAGGTAGTCACTCCTAGGCTCTGTTGTTTGTGTTTTACCAGTGAGGAAACAAACTTAGAGAGGTTAAATGTCTCATCCAAGTGACAACCCTA